CTCCCACGGCGCGGCTGCGCGTGCGCTCTCTCGCTAGGACCAGGCGAGCGTCTTCTTATTCGGCGTTTCGACATTGGGCGGAATGGAGGGGGGGGGGTCTGGCTCTGGACCTCTGCTTACTGCGGCTGTTTGCAACAGTGCGTCCCACGCGGGAGGGACTCCACCTGCCTGAAACAGGCGCCAGAAACAGCCAAGATTTACTCTATCGGGGGGGGTAGGGGGGGTGCGAGGGCCCGCGCCGATCGGCAAAACAGTGAATCAAAAAACGACCACAAGTGCGTTCCACGACTCGCAAAGTAGCTACTCGCAAATGGTATCGATCCGCCGTGGGGGATTTCTTTGCGATCCGCGACGTGGAGGAAGACACGCGTTTTTTGTCGAACGTTTGCGAGTAGGCACTTTGCGAGTAGTGGAATGCGTTCGGTGGTTCGCGGCTCTGGCCTCTCTACGACGACCCTGAGATCCTGGCGATGCCATTTTTTCGAGCCGGGCTTTGCCGCCCGGTTTCGGGCCCCGGGACCCTCATAGATCTGTCGATTCCACGACAATGGACACTCTAACAATCCTATCATTGAATGAAAACTGTGTTTAACATGTGTGTAACATGTTCTAACCATGTTTCAAACATGATTTTACATATCTACAACATGTTTGCACAATGTGTAGACATCTGGAACTTAGTTGGCAGCATGCTTCCTCTCAATTAATCGGCTTCCACAATCAGAGATGGACCTGGCTCGAAGAATGGCGCAGAAAGATGGGGCCTAGGGCTCCAGGCGTGATTATTTACGATGTTGCATCTTGTTCGCTACGTCGGATCTCAAGGGGAAGCCAGGACGAAGATAACATTGGTTGCGTACTGATAAATCGAGTCCCTGAGATCCGGCGACTCTGGAGGACGTCTCGGGCGCCGCTACCTTCTGAGAGCGTTCCGGAACGCTCCCAGATCGTCCCGGAACGCTCCGAAACAGACTAAGTAAATCCTTGTCCTAGCCCCGTCCGCCTCGCCCCATTCAAGACGAAGCTAGGACGAGAAGCAGTCCTGGTGAGGACAGGTTTAGGTCGGGCATGTCCTTCTACAGGTGGATTCTGGAAGAAACATTGGGAATGCTTGGAAATATTTAATTATCCCGGCAAAGCAACCTGACAGCGATGTGTATAAGCATACCTGGAAGCATTTCCCTTAAGATTCAGGTGAGAATCCAGTTGTAGAATTATGCTGTTCTCGCAGTCGCAGTCGCAGTCGCAATGACAGTCGCAGTGGCAACGGCCTTAGGATCCAATGTAATCCTAAGGATTCCTAAGGATTCCTAAGGCATCCTTAGGCATCCTTAGATATCCATATTAATCCTTAGGAAACCTTAGGAATCCTTAGGAATCCTGATTCCTAGGGATTCCTAGGGATTCCAAAGGATTCCGAAGGATTCGCCTGCCTCGGCCTCAGCCTCAGCCTGCCTCAGCCTCAGCCTGCCTCAGCCTCAGCCTCAGCCTGTCTCAGCCTCAGCCTGCCTCAGCATCAGCCTCAGCCTCAGCCTCAGCCTGCCTCGGCTTGCCTCGGCCTCAGCCTCAACCTGCCTCGGCCTCAGCCTCAGCCTCAGCCTGCCTCAGCCTCAGCCTCAGCCTGCCTCAGCCTCAGCCTGCATCAGCCTCAGCCTCAGCCTGCCTCAGCCGCAGCTTGCCTCAGCCTCAGCCACAGCCTCAGCCTCAGCCTCAGCCTGCCTCAGTTTCAGCCTCAGCCTCAGCCTGCCTCGGCTTGCCTCAGCCTCGGCCTCAGCCTGCCTCGGCCTCAGCCTCAGCCTCAGCCTGCATCAGCCTCAGCCTCACCTCTCATCCTCAGCCGTGTCTCAGCCTCAGCCTCAGCCTCAGCCTGCCTCAGCCTCAGCTTCAGCCTGCCTCAGCCTCAGCCTGCAATCAGCCTCAAGCCTCAGCCTGCCTCAGCCGCAGCTTGCCTCAGCCTCAGCCTCAGCCTCAGCCAAAGCCTCAGCCTGCCTCAGCCCCAGCCTCAGCCTGCCTCGGCTTGCCTCAGCCCCAGCCTCAGCCTGCCTCGGCCTCAGCCTGCCTCAGCCTCACCGTCAGCCTCACCGCCTCAGCCTGCCTCAGCCTCAGCCTCAGCCTCAGCCTCAGCCTGCCTCAGCCTCAGTCTCAGCCTGACTTCAGCCTCATCCTGCCCTCAGCCTGCCTCAGCCTCAGCCTCAGCCTGCTTCAGCCTCAGCATCAGTCTGACTTCAGCCTCGGCCTCAGCCTCAGCCTGCCTCAGGCTCACCCTGCATCAGCCTCAGCCTCAGCCTCAGCCTGCCTCAGCATCAGCCTGCCTCAGCCTCAGCCTCAGCCTGCCTCAGCCTCAGCCTCAGCCTGCTTCAGCCTCAGCCTCAGTCTGCCTTCAGCCTCGGCCTCAGCCTCAGCCTGCCTCATCTTCAGCCTGCCTCAGCCTCAGCATCAGCCTGCCTCATCTTCAGCCTCAGCCAGCCTGCCTCGGCTTTGCCTCAGCCTCGCAGCCTCAGCAGCCTGCCTCGAGACCTCTAGCCTCAGCCTCAGCCTGCCTCAGCCTCAGCGTCAGCCTCTCAGCAGCCTCAGCCTGCTCAGCTCAGGCCACAGCCCCTCACCAGCCTGCCTCAGCATCAGCGTCAGCCTCTCAGCCTGCTCAGCCTGCTCGCCTCAGCCTCAGCCTGCCTCAGCCTCAGCTCAGCCTGCCTCAGCCTCAGCCTCAGCCTGCCTCAGCCTCAGCCTCAGCCTGCCTCAGCCTCAGCCTCAGCCTGCCTCGGCGTGCCTCAGCCTCAGCCTCAGCCTGCCTCGGCCTCAGCCTGCCTCGGCCTCAGCCTGCCTCAGCTCGGGCATTCAAAATATGGCACAGGACTGGTGTTCTGGGAACACGAAGATCACGAATAGGCCTACAATTGGCTCCGGGCAGTCAAAATATTGTACAGGACTGATGTTCTGGGAACACAAAGAACACGAAAGGGCCTACAGTTGGCTCCGGGCAATCAAAATATGGCCTGGGAATGGTGCTCTGGGAACACGAAGAACACGAAGTGGCCTACAATTGGCTCCGGGCGTTCAAAATGTGGCCTGGGAATGGTGCTCTGGGAACACGAAGAACACGAAGTGGCCTACAGTTGGCTCTGGGCATTCAAAATGTGGCCTGGGAATGGTGTTCTGGGAAGACGAAGAACACGAAGTGGCCTACAGTTGGTTCGGGGCATTCAAAATGTGGCCTGGGAATGGTGTTCTGGGAATGGATTCCTAAGGATTCCTAAGAGTTCCGAATGATTCCTAAGGATTCCTGAGGCTACCGGTTTTGTCCGGTGTTGTCCGGATCCCGCCCAGACCCCCCCAGGGCGTCAAGATGCATTATTTTGACCCCACTTGAAAGCTATCAGTCTTCGCTGTTAGGTAAAAATTACCCAGAAAACACGACAAATTGTCACCAGACTATGTTTCAGCTATTCTTGATCATTCCTCCTCTAGGAGGGACATGCACGACTTACGGATAAGTCGAAGATTCTTGAACTCTGGAACGCTCCGAGAGCGTTACGGAACACTCCGGAACGGATTTACCCGTGTCCTAGCTCCGTCCGCCTCGACCCCTTCAAGACGAAGCTAGGACGAGAAGAAGTCCTGGTGAGGATAGGTTTAGGTCGGGTATGCCCTTCTACAGGCGGACTTTGGAAGAAAAAGACGTCATGCTCCGAAAATACTCAAGAGTAGTCAGCAAAGCACGCCAAAGAGTCACCAGACTATGGTTTATCTGTTCTTGAATATTCCTCCTGTAGCCCCGTCCCTGCAGGAGCCGGCAAGATCCAGCGCTCTGGCTGACCCCCGTTTGCATTGACCCCCGTCGGCGGTGGACAAACCTCCCTTTAGCAAACCTCCCCTCAGTGAAAGCGGCCTGGGACCGAGACCGACGGCCCTGGACCCGCAAAAATGACGGCCGCGACGCCCCCTCGCGAACCGAAAACGGCCAATTCCCCAAGCGACGTGTCAGGGTAAAAGTAGGGGAACAAAAAGTGACATAAACATAAAAACTCAGAGGTCCGCGCGGATTTCTCGGATCGGCGGCGCGGCGCCTCCGGCTCCGCCCCTGGCGCGCTCCGCGCGCCAGGGAGGGGGGTCCAGCGCCGATCCGAGACATCCGCGCGGACCTCCGAGTTTTTATGTTTATGTCACTTTTTGTTTCCCTGAATTCCTCAATCGACGTGTCAGGCTAAAAGGGTCTGTCCACCTCCGACCCCGCCTCCGGGCTCCCAACAAGCCGAGGGACTCCCGAGATCGGGCGGCTCCGGAGGATGTGCACCAGGCGCTCGCGAATCGAGAACGGCCAATTCCTCACTCGACGTGTCGGGGTAAAAGGTCTGTCCACCTCCGACCCCGCCTCCAGGCTCCCAATAATCGGGGATGGACAGACCTCCCTTTAGTAAAACGTGGTGTAGTGAAAACGACCTGAGGCCCAAACCTGGCGGGCGCGAGCCTGGAAAAGAACGGCCACGGCGCCCTCTCGAGAACCGAGAACGGACAAGTCACCAATCGGCGTGTCACTGTTGGGGGTTCTGTCCACCCCCGACAGGAAGCCGAGGGACTCCCGAGAAATCGGGCGGCTCCGGAGGGCGTGCCATCGGGCGCCGCGAGCCTCTCTCACGGGGGTCGCGGCTGCCCGTGCGCGCCCCTTTGTGCTCGGCTCGGGCCTCCCCCCCCCCCCCCTATGGAAGCCAGGCTCGAGCTCCTCCCTGTCCCTGGGTCGGGCATGTCCTCCTACAGGCGGATGCTGGACGAAAAATTCGCCGGCCCAACGGGCCAGGGCGTGCTAAGATCTCCGGTAACTGGTTAACAGTATTAACAGTATTTCTAGTTCGCGCGCGCGGGGCGGCCCCTGGGGGTCCCCCGGCGAAAAGTACCCCGACCAACGCCCGGTCGCCGCCCGACCGCCGCCCGACCAAGTCTACTCAGAGATGGTTTTCCTTCTGGGTGCGGCCTCTCAGGCTCCCCAGAGCGCGCTCAGAGTGCCC